ATCCAATCACATGGTGCATCTAATCAACCTGATTTACACGCGTCCAATCATCCTACGCGTCTAACCATCTCTGAGGTAATTACCGATGTAAAAACTATCTCGTAAGAACTACGCGCTAGGTTCGGATTGTACCGGTAACCCTCAATAGTGTAGTCGATGCCATACTTTTGGCGAAAGCCCTTGGCCACAAGTCGTGTTTAGTACTTCTCGATTGAACCACCTGCCTTGATCTTGATCTTGAACACCCATTTTGTGCCAATGGCGCGTTGTCCGTTGGGAAGCTTGGCTGCACTAACCACACTGCGAAGTCGCGTTGACTCAAGCTCTGCATGAATAGCTTGATCAATAAACTTGGTCAAGGCCGCTCACTGCCGCCTCAAATGTTGAGGGCTTCAATAAGTCCGCTGCTGTTTCAACGGCATTCGCACTCGCACAACAAAACACAGGCGGAGTTGATTCATCAGAATCCTTCGTTTCTTCGTCTTCTTCTTGGCGTGACGAGTTGCTTTCCGGCGCGCTTGACTTTTCAAGTCCAGATCGTTGACGCACTGCACGCGGTCGTGGAGCTGCTGTATCTTCATCACTGAGGCGGTTTTTGCGCTTGCCTGTTTGCTTGTACTCCACCAGACGCGGCTCTTCATCATTGAGGTCAAGCAATTCGAAGTCCAGGTCATCGGCATCTTCATCAGGGATCGGTGGCGGAAGTCCAAAGGTGGACTCGTCAAAGCTGACATCGCGACTGATAACCACCTTCACCGCCTTGATGTCATAAACACGATATGCCTTCGAAACTTCTTCGTATCCCACGAATATGCCAGCGCGAGCCTTTGGATCCCACTTGAGTCGATTCTCCTTTGGCGTCAGTATGTACGTCTGACACCCAAATACTCGCATGTGCTTGACGCTTGGTTTCAAGTTGTAGGCGATCTCAAACGGGGTCTTGTGTACGACTCTAGGTGACGGCAGTCGATTCTTGACGTAGATGGCCGTCATCGCTGCTTCAGCCCAGAAACACTTGTTCAGTTTGGCATGATGAAGCATGCTGCGGCCGATCGTGACGATAGTCCTAATGGCACGCTCTGATGTTCCGTCGGTTTGAAGTGTACATGAAACTGTTGTCTGCTGTTCAATGCCTTCGTCTTCGATGAAAATACGAAGCGAGTTGGTTGCGAGCTCGCAAGCTCCGTAGTGTCGCACAAACTTGACCTTCTTACTGAACTGCGTCTGTACCATAGTGATGTACTTACGGATGTAGTCTTCACTCTCGGACTTCACTCGAAAAGACAAGCCCTTTATACATCCACTGGCTTCGTCTACGATCAGTAGCAAATATCTGCTGGCACCGAGCGAATCGTTTTCCATGGGCCCCATATGTCCAGGTGAATCAGCTCGAACGTATCTTAGTTACGCTTGTCGCGTTTGCTTGGGAATGGTTTTTGGATTATTTTCCCTTGTTGGCACCCTCGACATGCAGGTGCTCCATTCGACTTAAGAGGGACAATAATATCCTTGATCACGTTGGTCATGACCATCTTGCGAAGTACGTCGAGTGGAGCGTGACCCATTTGCGCATGTAGATCAGCACAACTGTTTCCACTTAATGTCACATTTGCTGATCGCTGAGTTGTACGAAGCCAGTGAAGTCCATCCACGAGATCCGCTGTCGCCACCACTTTCTGTGAGTTCTTGCGAGTCACAAACATCTTGGACCCGTCAAAAATGACTTGGAACTTGCCATGCCTGTTAATCTATGGCATCGAAAGCAGGTTCTCGCTTATACTTGGGACACATAACGCGTTCTTGATCTCGATCTCGCGCTTTTCACCGTTAGGCAGAACCACCTTTTCCATGATGGTTCCCACACCCTTGATGGCCACCTTGTTGCCATCAGCCACCAAGAGTTCGCCGTCATTGCGCTCTGCCAAACTTGCGAGCTTAGTCTTGTCGTGGCAAATGTAGTGCGTTGCACCACTATCGACGGCCCAAATTCTAGAAAAGTCCTTGCTCGTCGAAACTCCACACTTGAACGAGACTGCAAACGTCACTCAATCGTAGCCATTGGCTTCATCATTATTTACCCACTGAACGTTATAGCCCCGCGTCCACGACCATTGCCGCCGCGTCGTGCTCCTCGACCTTCGTTCTCCTGCTTTGTCCAGAAACGATCCACCGTGTGTCCCACCTTACCACAATACGTGCATTGGTAGAGCTAGTGCTCGGTGCTGAATGTCTTGCTTGCTGTTGATGGGTGAAGAGCTTGACGACCGAAACTGGGAGGGATGCTGAGAGTCCACTCAGAAGACCGGAGAAGACACTTGGGGGTAGATGGAAGATTGGAAAGTGATTGATTATCGGGGCTTACTACTTACTACATGATTTATATGTGGTGTACATATAAATCATGTGAAGCGTCTCATCATCCTACGCGTCTAATCAACTATGGTAATTACCGTAAGAACTACGTCGTAAATACTAAGCTGAACAGGCGGTTCGGATTGGACCGGTCACGGTTACCAATACTGGTAGAAACCGATGACCGTCAACACGCCCCCTCAATCCGAACTCGCACGAATGCCGAGAGCCGTCGTCAAGTCCTTGTGACGAGGTCCCGAAAGTCCCTTGGTCATGATGTCCGCCATCATCACGGAAGTCTCGCAATACTCGAGCTGCACTTCACCGCGCTTGACCTCATCACGGATGTGATGGTACTTGATGTCGATGTGCTTGGCGCGGCCATGATTCACCGGATTCTTCGTCATCTTGATGCACGACTGGTTGTCTTCACGGATGACGAGGTCCGGTCCTGGTTCGTTTGCGGCCGCCAAAATCTCGCATAGCAGGCGATGCACCCACTTGCCTTCCTGGATGGCCAGACTCAGTGCGATTTATTCCGCTTCACTCGTCGACAGCGACACACTTGACTGCTTCTTGCTTCCCCAACTCACAGGAGCACCCATCAGCATGAAAGTGTAACCCGAAGTCGACTTGCGATCAGCGTGGTCGCCGGCCCAGTCCGCGTCCGAGTAGCCACGAAAGTCGATCTTGTCGCTTGGCTGGAAGCGGAGTCCGTGTGACTTGGTCCCTTGCAAGTAACGAAAGATGCGCTTCACCGCCGTCCAATGTTCTTGCTGCGGATTCTCCATGGAGCGCGAGACGTACCCCACAGCATACGCAATGTCCGGGCGCGTCGCAGTCGTCAAGTGCATCAAAGCTCCCACAGCTTTACGAAACGGAACGTTGATCTTGGCCGCTTCGGTGCTTGCGACAAGCCGAGTGCTCAAGTCGACCGGACTTGCTGTGGCCTTGCACTCATCCATGCCGAAGCGCTTGAGGATGTCGTTGACATACCGTCGCTGGCACATCGTCACGCTGCCATCCGATTCGTCCACCAGTTCGATGCCCAGTACAAAAGTACACTTGCCACTGTCGGTCATCTCGAAACGCGTCTTGAGGTCGGCCTTCGTCTGCGCAATCAACTCGAGCGAGCTGCCGGTGACCAACACGTCATCCACGTAGACCAGCACGAGCACACAGTGACCGTCGACAACCTTGATGTAGAGACATGGGTCGAACGCCGACGCTTCGAAACCGATAGAGCATACGAACTCGTCGAAAGTCTCGTTCCACACACGTGAAGCTTGCTTGAGACCGTAGATCGCCTTCACCAACTCGAGACAGTCGAAGTCGCCATCCATCTCGACGCCTTCTGGTATCACGCAGTACACCTTCTCCTTCATCACTCCGTAGAGAAAGGCTGTCACCACATCGAGTTGGTCCAGTGGCCAGTCGAAATACTTGGTGATCGCGATCACCATACGCAGTGTCACGTACTTGACCACGGGCAAGAACGTCTCTGTGTAGTCGATGCCGTACTTCTGCTTGAAGCCCTTGGCAACGAGACGCGCCTTGTATTTCTCGACCGATCCATCCGCTTTGCGCTTGATCTTGAACACCCACTTGGTGCCGATCGCGCCTTGGCCTCTTGGTAGTTTTGCCGCACGGAAAACTCCACGAAGATGCATCGACTTGAGTTCCGCCTTCACAGCATTTCGCCAGTGAGCTTGATCAGGACCATTGATCGCGTCTTGAAAAGTCACAGGTTCTGCTAGGTCCGTTGCTTCCACTGCTTTTGCACTTGCACGCCAAAATGTTGGAGGTGTCGAGTCGTCATCTTGATCGTAGACGCTTGTATCTTCTTCGTCATCAGACATCGTTTCTGGAGCACTTGATCGTCGTTTCTGGTGACGGTTGGAGACGTGTGCCGGCGCACTTGCTTGTTCCAACCCAGTTCGAGGGCGAGCTGAACGTGGCATGCCGGGTCTTGCTTCACTCTTGCGCTTGCCAGTCTGCTTGTAGACGGTTTGACGCACGTCGTCCTCGTTGATCGCCAGGAGGTCGAGGTCCAACTCCGCATCTTCATCATCGTCACTTGGTCGGTCCATCGAAAAGTCAAAAGTCGATTCGTCGAAGGTGATGTCACGACTAATCACCACTTGGTCCGCCTCAATGTCGTAAACTCGATACGCTTTTAAAACTTCTTCGTATCCCATGAACATCCCTTCACGAGCTTTCGGGTCCCACTTCAATCGCTTCTCCCTTGGTGTCAGGATAAACGCCCGACATCCAAACACGCGCATGTGCTTGACACTTGGTTTCGACTTGTACACGATCTCGAACGGAGTCTTGTGGTCGATCTTGGGTGACGGTAGGCGGTTCTTGATGTAAATCGCAGCCATTGACGCTTCACCCCAGAAACACTTGTTCAGCTTGGCATGATGCAACAAGCTGCGTCCGATCGTGACGATGGTCCTTATGATGAACTTTAGACTTCTTGGTCCGAGTGCAAAACGCAAAGTGAATATATATTTATAATAGGTACTTAGTTCGCAACTTTGAATACTACCTCTAAGCCTATTATTCGCAGTGACGTCATCCAGTGACGTCACCCACTGACGTCATGCAATGACGTCATCCAGTGACGTCATTTCCTGACTTCGCCCTTACTGGTACATACCGGTACCCACCGGTATAGCGAAGCTTGGTCTTCCACTTGCTTCAACACTTGACGCAGCTTGACGAGGTGTCTTCTTCACAGCCGCTGTCTTTTCAACACTCCCTCTCGACTCGTTAGCTGCGGCACCTTGGATCCCAAGTCGATCGCGAATGTTTTCAAATTGTACAGCGGCGATCGGCTTGGTCATCATGTCTGCCAGCATATCTTGAGTCGGGCAATACTCCAAAACGACTTCACCTGATTCCACCTTCTCACGCACAAAATGGTAGCGTATGTCGATGTGTTTTGTTCTCTTATGGAACTCCGGGTTCTTGGCGAGAGCGATTGATCCTTGGTTGTCTTCATACATCTTGATCGCTTCGTCGCTTGTCATCTCACCAAGTTCCCCCAAAAGCACTTTGAGCCATACTGCTTCTTTGGTTGCTTCGGAAAGCGCCATGTATTCTGCTTCTGTTGAAGATAGCGCGACCGTCCGTTGTTTCTGGCTTTTCCAGCTGATGCATCCTCCGCTCATCATGAACACATAGCCGCTTGTACTTCGTCTTGACTCAATGTCGCCGGCCCAGTCTGCGTCGGTGTACCCGCAGATACGGCTTCCTTCTTCACGTGTAAACTCAAGACCATGATTGGGCGTTGCTTGCAGGTATCTCAGCACACGCTTCAAAGCTTGCCAGTGAGTCGGGCATGGGTCGGACGAGAACTGGGATAATGATCCCACTGCAGCAGCTAGATCCGGACGTGTGGCGACCATGAGATACATGATGCCTCCGACAGCACTTCGATATGGCACGTTGCACATGGTGTCTTCGTGCTTGCATTCTTGTTCACACATGTTCTTGGTTAGCTTCAGGCCGGGATCTTGAGGCGTCTTCACTGGCTTGCTGTTATCCATTCCGAACTTGGTTAACACGGACTTGAGAAACTTGGTTTGTTGTACAGTCACCATTCCCGTCTTACGGTCGTTCTTGATCTCCATGCCGAGAAAGTAATCGAGCTCACCGAGATCCGTCATTTCGAAGCGTTTGCTCAGCGCCATCTTGGTTGGCTTGAGGAGTTCGTTGTTGCTGCTGGCCAGGATGAGATCATCGACGTAGAGCACCACGAGAATCATGTCTTGGTCGTCTCGCTTGATGTAGATGCAGTGGTCCGATTCGCACTTCTTGAATCCCATCTTGATCATGAACCCATCGATTGTTTGGTTCCACATGCGAGGCGATTGCTTCAAGCCGTAGAGTGATCTCTTTAGCTTGCACACATAGTCCGGCTGTGTTGCATCCAGGTATCCGTCCGGCTGGTCCATGTAGATGTCTTCGTTGAGGGAGCCGTTAAGAAACGCTGTCTTGACGTCCATCTGATGTAGCATTAGGCCGTACTTGGCCGCCATACTGAGCACCACACGAATCGATGTGAACTTGGCCACCGGTGCGAAAGTTTCTTCATAGTCAACTCCGAATTTCTGTGAGAATCCTTTGGCCACAAGTCTTGCCTTGAAACGTTCAACTTCGCCATCTTGATTCTCCTTTACACGAAAAACCATCGGCACCCGATGGCCTTGCGACCTTTCGGAAGAGGCACGATTTCCACGTGTCGTTTCTCTGAAGCGAATCGAACTCCGAGTCACACGCTTCTTTCCACTTGCCGGAGTCGCTTGATTCCATCGCCGACTTGAATGTAGTCGGCGTTTCCCCCACTGAATCAACGATGTAGGCTGCTTCAAAATCCATTGCAGCCGCTGACACATGCTCAAGCGACGGACCTCTGTATGTTCTTCGCTTGGGACTTGGAATGACGGTAGCTTTCTCAAGTGATTGAGTGCGCGTGTGTCTCTTGATGTTGCTCTTCGAAGACCTGGTGTCTTCGTTGTCATCGTCGCTCGAGTCCATGTCGTCGTCAGTTTTACCTTCTTCTTTTTCTTCGTCCTCATCATGATCATCAAACTCAACGACACTTGACTCATCGTTGTAGTTGCGCGGACCTTCATCAAACTTGTCTTCCATGAATGTGGCATCGCGACTGATCTTGATCGCTCCTGTTGACACTTCCTCAAATCGATATGACTTCTGGTGTTCGGCGTATCCCAGGAAACGACAGAGTGATGACTTGGAGTCGAACTTCGCGCGTTTGTCTTGAGGCACTTGAACATACGCGTGGCATCCAAACACTTTAAGGTTGGCCAGAATCGGTTTCTTCATCGTCCACACTTGATATGGAGACTTGTCTTGGTGAATGGCACGTGTTGGACAGCGGTTTCGAAGAAACATCGCCGTCATCACTGCTTCACCCCAGTAGCTCTTTCCCAGTCCAGCGTGTTCCATCATGCAACGCGCACACTCGACCAGCGTGCGATTCATTCTCTCAGCTACTCCGTTTAGCTGAGGAGTATATGGGGGTGTGAACCTTTGTTGTATTCCCCGTTCCGCGCAGAATCGTGCCAGCTTGTCGGACTTGTATTCACCCCCATTGTCGCTTTGAAGGTACTTCACGCGCTTTCCGGTTTGCGTTTCGGCCATCGCAGCGTATTCCATGAACTTCGCCGCAACTTCAGATTTGCTCTTGAGCAGATAGACGACACAGTATCTTGACTTGTCATCAATGAATGTCACGAAGTACCGTTTTCCACTGAAAGTTGCCATCGACATCGGTCCGCATACGTCGCTGTGAATCACTTGAGGAGTTTGGAGGTGCGAGCTGTAGTGTTTGATTGGAAGCGCACTCGAGTCTGTTTTCCCAGAGCACAACCTTCACACACGTCCCACTTCTTCACCGAAGATATGTCGATGCCAATTCCAATGTTCTTCGTCACGATGCAATTGAGTCCATCGTGACCTATGTGGCCAAGCCGAAGGTGCCAGAGGTACGACTTGGTGCCCCCTTGACATCCCGACGACTTGGCTGCATTTGCTTGTTCCGGCGCCACTGGAGTCATTTGCAGCTTGAACAGTCCTTTACCTTCACGGGCACCAATTTTCCACTTGGTCCCTTTCGCTTCTCCATAGCACCCATCCTTCGTGAACGTCACTGGGCCGACATCCTTGGTGAAGCGGCCGACCGAGAACAGGTTTCTGGATAACTTTGGGATGTGCCACACGTTTGTGAGACACCTTTCTTCATCCCTTGGGGTGTCTTCATCGACATGACAATGTCCCCACTGCCAATTGCTTGGACGATTCCATCATCCGCGAGATGGACATCCACAGCGTCAAACCCCTTGTAGTTCCGCATGAACTTCTTGGAGCACGTCATGTGCTGCGTCGCCCGGAGTCGACCAGCCAGATGTCGCTCGATTTCGCAGATGTCGTTTCACCGATCGAAAAGAGGTAGTCGCCCGAGTCTTCTTCTTGAGCGACGTTTGCACGTTGTGATCGATAGCGGTCGCCGCTGTCTTGAGACGCTGTGGCCGGTGTCTCTCCGTGTTTTCTTGATGCGCGAGGGGCACTCCGCCATCCAGTGACCAATCTTTCCGCAATTGTGGCACGGCCAGGACTTCTTCACTGGTCGCCCTTTGCGCTGATTGTCCCTTGTGATGAACGCTGACCTTGCGAAGCTTCATCACCTTTTACTTCCTTGCTCCTTCCGCTTCATTTCTTCATGAAGCAGTCGAGACGTCACGAGCTCCCAGCTAAGAGTGTCTGAGCGCGACTCCAAAGCTGTGATCAAGAATTGATACGAGTCACTCAGGCTGCCGAGGAGTGTGATCACCAGATCGTCCTCGCAGACTGGAGCCCCCACCGCTTCTAGCTGTTCCGCCAGCGTCTTGAGCTTGTTGATGTGTTCGAGCACATCGTCGCCTTCTTCCATCATTGTCGTGAAGAAGCGACGGCGCAAGAACAGCTTGTTGGCAAGACTCTTCTTCTCGAAGTGGTCTTCCAACCTTGACCATGCGTGCATGCACCACTTGCCGACCGACCAACGGTAGCTGGGAATCTTCCATGGCTAGACAGATCACTGCCATCGCCTTTCTTGACTTCCTCTTGTAGTGCTTGGTCCAACTGAGTCTCGCACTGTTCCGCCTTGATCTCACGCTGACGACCTCCCATAGGTCCCGTTCCTCCAGCACCATCTGCATCTTGAACTTCCAGGCGTGGAAGTTAGTTCCATCGAACTTGGAGATGCGGAGGGAGGAGGCGTCCATGGCAGCTAAGCTTGAATTGTTGGCGGTTTCAGAGTCTGACGAACTTGGGCTCATAACCTGATGAACTTTAGACTTCTTGGTCCGAGTGCAAAACGCAAAGTGAATATATATTTATAATAGGTACTTAGTTCGCAACTTTGAATACTACCTCTAAGCCTATTATTCGCAGTGACGTCATCCAGTGACGTCACCCACTGACGTCATGCAATGACGTCATCCAGTGACGTCATTTCCTGACTTCGCCCTTACTGGTACATACCGGTACCCACCGGTATAGCGAAGCTTGGTCTTCCACTTGCTTCAACACTTGACGCAGCTTGACGAGGTGTCTTCTTCACAGCCGCTGTCTTTTCAACACCTTATCGCGCGTTCTGCGGTGCCGTTGGTCTGGTGTGCATACGGCACCGTGATCTGTTGTTCGATACCATGATCTTCGTAGAAGGTCTTGATGGAGTTGGTCGCAAACTCATGCGCTCCATCGTGCCGAACAAACTTGATCTTCGTGCCGAACTGAGTCTGAATCTTGATGATGTGGTTCTTGATACAGTCTTCACTCTCAGACTTGAACCGCAGACAGAAGCCCTTCATGCAACCGCTAGCTTCGTCAACCACAAGCAGTTAGTATTCTGCTGCCGCCGATCGAGACTTGTTCCATTGGCCCGCAGATGTCGAAGTGCAGCAACTCGAACACACCATATTGGCGTTTGTCACGGTTGGTTGGGAATGATTTTTGGACCATCTTTCCTTGCTGGCAACCGCGACACACACTTGGACCAGTCGAGTTGAGAGGTGCCTTGGCGTCCTTGATCATGCCAGTGGCCACCATCTTGCGCAGAACTTCGAGGGGTGCATGACCCATGCGTGCATGCAAGTCGATGGTCCCATTGCGTGTTGCTGCATTTGCCGATCATTGAGGAGTCCGCAACCAGTAAAGTCCATCGACGAGATCCGCTGTTGCCACAACTTGTGTGGAATTCTTGCGCTTCACTTGCATCTTGGATCCATCGAACACGACTTGGAACCTGCCACCCTTGTTGATCTGTGGCACCGAAAGCAGATTCTTGCTCACGCTTGGTACGAACAGTGCGTCCTTGATCTCGATGTCGCGTTCGTCACCATTGGGCAGAACCACCCGTTCCATGATGGTTCCCACACCCTTGATCGCAGCCTTGCTGCCATCAGCCACTGATAGTTCGCCTTCCTCTCGCTCATTCAGGCTTGCAAACTTGGCTTTGTCGTTGCAGATGTGATGCGTCGCACCACTGTCGACTGCCCACATCCCTGGCATATTCTTGCCCGTCGAAAGTCCAGTTTCCAGCGAAACCGCGAACGCAACTCGATCGTAGTTGTCGTCGTTGTTGTTGTTGTTGGTTCGCCACTGAACGTTGTTGGCTCCGCGTCCACGAGCATTGTTGCCGCCGCGTCGAGCTCCACCTTGATTTTCGTCCTTCTGCTTGGTCCAGCACCGCTCCGCCGTGTGCCCCAATTTTCCGCAGTATGTGCACTGGCGAGGTTCACGCTCGGTACTGAACGCCTTCGCCGCGTCTTCAGTCTTCACCGATGTCGTCTGGTCACCTTGCCTCTTGATGTGCTCATTCGTGAGCACTCTCACGACGTCTCGCGATCGCAGTTCCGCTCTGCTCATCTCCAAGTTGAGAACGACGTTCTCGTAGCTCTTGGGGAGGCTGCGCAACAAGCAGATCGCCACGTCCTCGTCCTCCATCTTGGCGCCGATGCTGCTGAGCTTCGCGCTGATGTTAAGGACTTCATTGCAATGATGCATCACATTGCCGCCTTCCGCCATCTCCATGCTGAACAGCTGACGCTTCAAGTAGATGCGTCCAGCCTTCTGCGACCCGCCGTACAGCGTATTCAAACGCGCCCACGCGACCCACGACTCTTCACAGTCATCAACCACGTGATGATAATCTGCGCTCATGTGCAGCAGCATCAAGCCGAACGCAATGTTGTTCGTCTTGACGTAGTCGTCACTGGCGCGAGGATCGGCGAAGGTGGGGGTGGTCTCCCGGTTCACCACGTGCCACGCCGACTTGGTCAGGAACACGCCACGCATGTAGCGGCTCCACGTCGCGTAGTTGTCGCCGTCGAACTTGTCAATGGAGATCTTGGTGGTGGCATCATGGGCAGAGGACATCGTGCTTGGGCTCATAACCTGTTGAGTGGTGAAGAGCTTGACGACCGAAACTGGGAGGGATGCTGAGCGTCCGCTCGGAAGACCGGAGAATACACTTGGGGGTAGATGGAAGATTGGAAAGTGATTGATTATCGGGGCTTACTACTTACTACATGATTTATATGTGGTGCACATATAAATCATGTGAAGCGTCTCATCATCCTACGCGTCTAATCAACTATGGTAATTACCGTAAGAACTACGTCGTAAATACTAAGCTGAACAGGCGGTTCGGATTGGACCGGTCACGGTTACCAAAACTGGTAGAAACCGATGACCGTCAACACTTGCATCTTCAGCCTTCACCGTAGTCGCCGTTGCTGTACTTTTTTTTTCTTGACGCTTGGCGTGCTCATTCATCAGCACTCTTACCACATCTTGGGTACGAAGCTCGGCGCTGCTCATTTCCATGTTGAGCACCACATTTTCGTAGCTCTTCGGAAGACTGAGCAGCAGACAGATTGCAACGTCTTCGTCTTCCATCTTCGCACCGATGCCGCTAAGCTTGGAGGAGATGTTGAGGACTTCATTGCAGTGGTGCGTGACGTCTGCACCTTCAGTCATCTTGATGCTGAAAAGTTGTTGCTTGAGGAAGATGAGTCCTGCCTTCTGCAACCCACCGTACAGCATCTTCAGAGGTGTCCACGCAACCCACGCTTCCTCGCAGTTGTCAAGCACATGGTGGTAATTTGCATTTATGTGTAGCAGCATCATACCAAATGCGACGTTGCTCGATTTGATGTATTCATCGGACGCTCGCGGGTCGGTGAAAGTCGGAGTCGCTTCACAATTTACGACGTGTCAGACGGACTTCGTCAAAAACACACCGCGCACGTATCGACCCCTAGTCGCATAGTTGTCTCCATTGAGCTTATCAATGAAGACGTCGGATGATACGTTGGTGGCAGACGACATGGCGCTTGGACTCATAACCTGTTTGCATGGCCGAGAGCGGATCGAAGGGAGCGGAGAGACCGACGTGAGCAGAAGATACTTGCTCACTTGTTGAAATATTCGAAAGTGATTGATTATCGGGGCTTACTACTGACTACATGATTTAAATGTGGTGTATATTGTGGGTTGACGGTTGAGGTACTGCTATCAGCTACCATGGGAACCGTAAACCTGTTCAAGTCGATCCCGCGTAATTACGGTGAGTTTTTACCAATGATTAGACGCATAGGATGATTGGATGACCTACATGATTTATGATTCATGATTTTTATGTGGACAACATATAAATCAGTGCAGAGATAGATCAGGTAGCTTTAACAAAACCCACAAATAAATTCACTTCCAAATATTCCTTCTTCAGCACAAGTCGTCTACACTTCGCAGTGCAGACTTCTTCAGCGTTCTTCAAGCTTCGTTCTCTCGTCCAGTGCTCTTCAGACTTTAACAGGTTATTAGCCCAAGCACGATGTCCTCTGCTCAAGATTCCGCCACCAAGATCTCTATCGATAGATTCGATGGAGACAACTACGCGACGTGGAGCCGCTACATGCGTGGCGTGTTCCTGACCAAGTCGACGTGGCACGTGGTCAACCGGGAGACCATCCCCACCTTCACCGATCCTCGCGCCAGTGATGAGTACGTCAAGACGAACAACATTGCGTTCGGCTTGATGTCACTTCACATGAGCGCGCACTATCATCACGTGGTTGATGACTGCGACGAGGCATGGGTTGCGTGGACACGGTTGAAGACTCTCTACGGCGGGTCGCAGAAGGCGGGACGGATCTTCTTGAAGCGGCAGCTGTTCAGCATGGAGATGGCGGAAGGCGGCAATGTGATGCATCATTGCAATGAAGTTCTCAACATCAGCGCCAAGCTCAGCAGCATCGGCGCCAAGATGGAGGATGAGGACGTGGCGATCTGCTTGTTGTGCAGCCTGATGAACTTTAGACTTCTTGGTCCGAGTGCAAAACGCAAAGTAAATATATATTTATAATAGGTACTTAGTTCGCAACTTTGAATACTACCTCTAAGCCTATTATTCGCAGTGACGTCATCCAGTGACGTCACCCACTGACGTCACCCACTGACGTCATGCAATGACGTCATCCAGTGACGTCATGCAATGACGTCATCCAGTGACGTCATTTCCTGACTTCGCCCTTACTGGTACATACCGGTACCCACCGGTATAGCGAAGCTTGGTCTTCCACTTGCTTCAACACTTGACGCAGCTTGACGAGGTGTCTTCTTCACAGCTGCTGTCTTTTCAACACTCCCTCTCGACTCGTTAGCTGCGGCACCTTGGATCCCAAGTCGATCGCGAATGTTTTCAAATTGTACAGCGGCGATCGGCTTGGTCATCATGTCTGCCAGCATATCTTGAGTCGGGCAATACTCCAAAACGACTTCACCTGATTCCACCTTCTCACGCACAAAATGGTAGCGTATGTCGATGTGTTTTGTTCTCTTATGGAACTCCGGGTTCTTGGCGAGAGCGATTGATCCTTGGTTGTCTTCATACATCTTGATCGCTTCGTCGCTTGTCATCTCACCAAGTTCCCCCAAAAGCACCTTGAGCCATACTGCTTCTTTGGTTGCTTCGGAAAGCGCCATGTATTCTGCTTCTGTTGAAGATAGCGCGACCGTCCGTTGTTTCTGGCTTTTCCAGCTGATGCATCCTCCGTTCATCATGAACACATAGCCGCTTGTACTTCGTCTTGACTCAATGTCGCCGGCCCAGTCTGCGTCGGTGTACCCGCAGATACGGCTTCCTTCTTCACGTGTAAACTCAAGACCATGATTGGGCGTTGCTTGAGTATCTCAGTGTTGAAAAGACAGCGGCTGTGAAGAAGACACCTCGTCAAGCTGCGTCAAGTGTTGAAGCAAGTGGAAGACCAAGCTTCGCTATACCGGTGGGTACCGGTATGTACCAGTAAGGGCGAAGTCAGGAAATGACGTCACTGGATGACGTCATTGCATGACGTCAGTGGGTGACGTCAGTGGGTTGACGTCACTGCGAATAATAGGCTTAGAGGTAGTATTCAAAGTTGCGAACTAAGTACCTATTATAAATATATATTCACTTTGCGTTTTGCACTCGGACCAAGAAGTCTAAAGTTCATCAGGTTATGAGCCCAAGTTCGTCAGACTCTGAAACCGCCAACAATTCAAGCTTAGCTGCCATGGACGCCTCCTCCCTCCGCATCTCCAAGTTCGATGGAACTAACTTCCACGCCTGGAAGTTCAAGATGCAGATGGTGCTGGAGGAACGGGACCTATGGGAGGTCGTCAGCGGTGAGATCAAGGCGGAACAGTGCGAGACTCAGTTGGACCAAGCGACGTACAAGAGGAAGTCAAGAAAGGCGATGGCAGTGATCTGTCTAGCCATGGAAGATTCCCAGCTACCGTTGGTCCGGTCGGCAAGTGGTGCATGCGACGCATGGTCAAGGTTGGAAGACCACTTCGAGAAGAAGAGTCTTGCCAACAAGCTGTTCTTGCGCCGTCGCTTCTTCACGACAATGATGGAAGAAGGCGACGATGTGCTCGAACACATCAACAAGCTCAAGACGCTGGCGGAACAGCTAGAAGCGGTGGGGGCTCCAGTCTGCGAGGACGATCTGGTGATCACACTCCTCGGCAGCCTGAGTGACTCGTATCAATTCTTGATCACAGCTTTGGAGTCGCGCTCAGACACTCTTAGCTGGGAGCTCGTGACGTCTCGACTGCTTCATGAAGAAATGAAGCGGAAGGAGCAAGGAAGTAAAGGTGATGAAGCTTCGCAAGGTCAAGCGTTCATCACAAGGGACAATCAGCGCAAAGGGCGACCAGTGAAGAAGTCCTGGCCGTGCCACAATTGCGGAAAGATTGGTCACTGGATGGCGGAGTGCCCCTCGCGCATCCAAGAAAACACGGAGAGACACCGGCCACAGCGTGCTCAAGACAGCGGCGACCGCTATCGATCACAACGTGCAAACGTCGCTCAAGAAGAAGACTCGGGCGACTACCTCTTTTCGATCGGTGAAACGACATCTGCGAAATCGAGCGACATCTGGCTGGTCGACTCCGGGGCGACGCAGCACATGACGTGCTCCAAGAAGTTCATGCGGAACTACAAGGGGTTTGACGCTGTGGATGTCCATCTCGCGGATGATGGAATCGTCCAAGCAATCGGCAGTGGGGACATTGTCATGTCGATGAAGACACCCCAAGGGATGAAGAAAGGTGTGCTCACAAACGTGTGGCACATCCCAAAGTTATCCAGAAACCTGTTCTCGGTCGGCCGCTTCACCAAGGATGTCGGCCCAGTGACGTTCACGAAGGATGGGTGCTATGGAGAAGCGAAAGGGACCAAGTGGAAAATTGGTGCCCGTGAAGGTAAAGGACTGTTCAAGCTGCAAATGACTCCAGTGGCGCCGGAACAAGCAAATGCAGCCAAGTCGTCGGGATGTCAAGGGGGCACCAAGTCGTACCTCTGGCACCTTCGGCTTGGCCACATAGGTCACGATGGACTCAATTGCATCGTGACGAAGAACATTGGAATTGGCATCGACATATCTTCGGTGAAGAAGTGGGACGTGTGTGAAGGTTGTGCTCTGGGAAAACAGACTCGAGTGCGCTTCCAATCAAACACTACAGCTCGCACCTCCAAACTCCTCGAAGTGATTCACAGCGACGTATGCGGACCGATGTCGATGGCAACTTTCAGTGGAAAACGGTACTTCGTGACATTCATTGATGACAAGTCAAGATACTGTGTCGTCTATCTGCTCAAGAGCAAATCTGAAGTTGCGGCGAAGTTCATGGAATACGCTGCGATGGCCGAAACGCAAACCGGAAAGCGCGTGAAGTACCTTCAAAGCGACAATGGGGGTGAATACAAGTCCGACAAGCTGGCACGATTCTGCGCGGAACGGGGAATACAACAAAGGTTCACACCCCCATATACTCCTCAGCTAAACGGAGTAGCTGAGAGAATGAATCGCACGCTGGTCGAGTGTGCGCGTTGCATGATGGAACACGCTGGACTGGGAAAGAGCTACTGGGGTGAAGCAGTGATGACGGCGATGTTTCTTCGAAACCGCTGTCCAACACGTGCCATTCACCAAGACAAGTCTCCATATCAAGTGTGGACGATGAAGAAACCGATTCTGGCCAACCTTAAAGTGTTTGGATGCCACGCGTATGTTCAAGTGCCTCAAGACAAACGCGCGAAGTTCGACTCCAAGTCATCACTCTGTCGTTTCCTGGGATACGCCGAACACCAGAAGTCATATCGATTTGAGGAAGTGTCAACAGGAGCGATCAAGATCAGTCGCGATGCCACATTCATGGAAGACAAGTTTGATGAAGGTCCGCGCAACTACAACGATGAGTCAAGTGTCGTTGAGTTTGATGATCATGATGAGGACGAAGAAAAAGAAGAAGGTAAAACTGACGACGACATGGACTCGAGCGACGATGACAACGAAGACACCAGGTCTTCGAAGAGCAACATCAAGAGACACACGCGCACTCAATCACTTGAGAAAGCTACCGTCATTCCAAGTCCCAAGCGAAGAACATACAGAGGTCCGTCGCTTGAGCATGTGTCAGCGGCTGCAATGGATTTTGAAGCAGCCTACATCGTTGATTCAGTGGGGAAACGCCGACTACATTCAAGTCGGCGATGGAATCAAGCGACTCCGGCAAGTGGAAAGAAGCGTGTGACTCGGAGTTCGATTCGCTTCAGAGAAACGACACGTGGGAAATCGTGCCTCTTCCGAAAGGTCGCAAGGCCATCGGGTGCCGATGGGTTTTTCGTGTAAAGGAGAATCAAGATGGCGAAGTTGAACGTTTCAAGGCAAGACTTGTGGCCAAAGGATTTGTTGAAAAGACAGCGGCTGTGAAGAAGACACCTCGTCAAGCTGCGTCAAGTGTTGAAGCAAGTGGAAGACCAAGCTTCGCTATACCGGTGGGTACCGGTATGTACCAGTAAGGGCGAAGTCAGGAAATGACGTCACTGGATGACGTCACTGCGAATAATAGGCTTAGAGGTAGTATTCAAAGTTGCGAACTAAGTACCTATTATAAATATATATTCACTTTGCGTTTTGCACTCGGACCAAGAGGTCTAAAGTTCATCAGGTTATGAGCCCAAGTTCGTCAGACTCTGAAACCGCCAACAATTCAAGCTTAGCTGCCATGGACGCCTCCTCCCTCCGCATCTCCAAGTTCGATGGAACTAACTTCCACGCCTGGAAGTTCAAGATGCAGATGGTGCTGGAGGAACGGGACCTATGGGAGGTCGTCAACGGTGAGTCAAGAAAGGCGATGGCAGTGATCTGTCTAGCCATGGAAGATTCCCAGCTACCGTTGGTCCGGTCGGCAAGTGGTGCATGCGACGCATGGTCAAGGTTGGAAGACCACTTCGAGAAGAAGAGTCTTGCCAACAAGCTGTTCTTGCGCCGTCGCTTCTTCACGACAATGATGGAAGAAGGCGACGATGTGCTCGAACACATCAACAAGCTCAAGACACCGGCCACAGCGTGCTCAAGACAGCGGCGACCGCTATCGATCACAACGTGCAAACGTCGCTCAAGAAGAAGACTCGGGCGACTACCTCTTTTCGATCGGTGAAACGACATCTGCGAAATCGAGCGACATCTGGCTGGTCGATGTTGAAAAGACAGCGGCTGTGAAGAAGACACCTCGTCAAGCTGCGTCAAGTGTTGAAGCAAGTGGAAGACCAAGCTTCGCTATACCGGTGGGTACCGGTATGTACCAGTAAGGGCGAAGTCAGGAAATGACGTCATTGGATGACGTCAGTGGGTGACGTCAGTGGGTGACGTCACTGGATGACGTCACTGCGAATAATAGGCTTAGAGGTAGTATTCAAAGTTGCGAACTAAGTACCTATTACAAATATATATTCACTTTGCGTTTTGCACTCGGACCAAGAAGTCTAAAGTTCATCAGGTTATGAGCCCAAGTTCGTCAGACTCTGAAACCGCCAACAATTCAAGCTTAGCTGCCATGGACGCCTCCCTCCCTCCGCATCTCCAAGTTCGATGGAACTAACTTCCACGCCTGGAAGTTCAAGATGCAGATGGTGCTGGAGGAACGGGACCTATGGGAGGTCGTCAGCGGTGAGATCAAGGCGGAACAGTGCGAGACTCAGTTGGACCAAGCGACGTACAAGAGGAAGTCAAGAAAGGCGATGGCAGTGATCTGTCTAGCCATGGAAGATTCCCAGCTACCGTTGGTCCGGTCGGCAAGTGGTGCATGCGACGCATGGTCAAGGTTGGAAGACCACTTCGAGAAGAAGAGTCTTGCCAACAAGCTGTTCTTGCGCCGTCGCTTCTTCACGACAATGATGGAAGAAGGCGACGATGTGCTCGAACACATCAACAAGCTCAAGACGCTGGCGGAACAGCTAGAAGCGGTGGGGGCTCCAGTCTGCGAGGACGATCTGGTGATCACACTTCTCGGCAGCCTGAGTGACTCGTATCAATTCTTGATCACAGCTTTGGAGTCGCGCTCAGACACTCTTAGCTGGGAGCTCGTGATGTCTCGACTGCTTCATGAAGAAATGAAGCGGAAGGAGCAAGGAAGTAAAGGTGATGAAGCTTCGCAAGGTCAAGCGTTCATCACAAGGGACAATCAGCGCAAAGGGCGACCAGTGAAGAAGTCCTGGCCGTGCCACAATTGCGGAAAGATTGGTCACTGGATGGCGGAGTGCCCCTCGCGCATCCAAGAAAACACGGAGAGACACCGGCCACAGCGTGCTCAAGACAGCGGCGACCGCTATCGATCACAACGTGCAAACGTCGCTCAAGAAGAAGACTCGGGCGACTACCTCTTTTCGATCGGTGAAACGACATCTGCGAAATCGAGCGACATCTGGCTGGTCGACTCCGGGGCGACGCAGCACATGACGTGCTCCAAGAAGTTCATGCGGAACTACAAGGGGTTTGACGCTGTGGATGTCCATCTCGCGGATGATGGAATCGTCCAAGCAATCGGCAGTGGGGACATTGTCATGTCGATGAAGGCACCCCAAGGGATGAAGAAAGGTGTGCTCACAAACGTGTGGCACATCCCAAAGTTATCCAGAAACCTGTTCTCGGTCGGCCGCTTCACCAAGGATGTCGGCCCAGTGACGTTCACGAAGGATGGGTGCTATGGAGAAGCGAAAGGGACCAAGTGGAAAATTGGTGCCCGTGAAGGTAAAGGACTGTTCAAGCTGCAAATGACTCCAGTGGCGCCGGAACAAGCAAATGCAGCCAAGTCGTCGGGATGTCAAGGGGGCACCAAGTCGTACCTCTGGCACCTTCGGCTTGGCCACATAGGTCACGATGGACTCAATTGCATCGTGACGAAGAACATTGGAATTGGCATCGACATATCTTCGGTGAAGAAGTGGGACGTGTGTGAAGGTTGTGCTCTGGGAAAACAGACTCGAGTGCGCTTCCAATCAAACACTACAGCTCGCACCTCCAAACTCCTCGAAGTGATTCACAGCGACGTATGCGGACCGATGTCGATGGCAACTTTCAGTGGAAAACGGTGATGAACTTTAGACTTCTTGGTCCGAGTGCAAAACGCAAAGTGAATATATATTTATAATAGGTACTTAGTTCGCAACTTTGAATACTACCTCTAAGCCTATTATTCGCAGTGACGTCATCCAGTGACGTCACCCACTGACGTCACCCACTGACGTCATGCAATGACGTCATCCAATGACGTCATTTCCTGACTTCGCCCTTACTGGTACATACCGGTACCCACCGGTATAGCGAAGCTTGGTCTTCCACTTGCTTCAACACTTGACGCAGCTTGACGAGGTGTCTTCTTCACAGCCGCTGTCTTTTCAACACTCCCTCTCGACTCGTTAGCTGCGGCACCTTGGATCCCAAGTCGATCGCGAATGTTTTCAAATTGTACAGCGGCGATCGGCTTGGTCATCATGTCTGCCAGCATATCTTGAGTCGGGCAATACTCCAAAACGACTTCACCTGATTCCACCTTCTCACGCACAAAATGGTAGCGTATGTCGATGTGTTTTGTTCTCTTATGGAACTCCGGGTTCTTGGCGAGAGCGATTGATCCTTGGTTGTCTTCATACATCTTGATCGCTTCGTCGCTTGTCATCTCACCAAGTTCCCCCAAAAGCACCTTGAGCCATACTGCTTCTTTGGTTGCTTCGGAAAGCGCCATGTATTCTGCTTCTGTTGAAGATAGCGCGACCGTCCGTTGTTTCTGGCTTTTCCAGCTGATGCATCCTCCGTTCATCATGAACACATAGCCGCTTGTACTTCGTCTTGACTCAATGTCGCCGGCCCAGTCTGCGTCGGTGTACCCGCAGATACGGCTTCCTTCTTCACGTGTAAACTCAAGACCATGATTGGGCGTTGCTTGCAGGTATCTCAGCACACGCTTCAAAGCTTGCCAGTGAGTCGGGCATGGGTCGGACGAGAACTGGGATAACGATCCCACTGCAGCAGCTAGATCCGGACGTGTGGCGACCATGAGATACATGATGCCTCCGACAGCACTTCGATATGGCACGTTGCACATGGTGTCTTCGTGCTTGCATTCTTGTTCACACATGTTCTTGGTTAGCTTCAGGCCGGGATCTTGAGGCGTCTTCACTGGCTTGCTGTTATCCATTCCGAACTTTGTTAACACGGACTTGAGAAACTTGGTTTGTTGTACAGTCACCATTCCCGTCTTACGGTCGCTCTTGATCTCCATGCCGAGAAAGTAATCGAGCTCACCGAGATCCGTCATTTCGAAGCGTTTGCTCAGCGCCATCTTGGTTGACTTGAGGAGTTCGTTGTTGCTGCTGGCCAGGATGAGATCATCGACGTAGAGCACCACGAGAATCATGTCTTGGTCGTCTCGCTTGATGTAGATGCAGTGGTCCGATTCGCACTTCTTGAATCCCATCTTGATCATGAACCCATCGATTGTTTGGTTCCACATGCGAGGCGATTGCTTCAAGCCGTAGAGTGATCTCTTTAGCTTGCACACATAGTCCGGCTGTGTTGCATCCAGGTATCCGTCCGGCTGTGTTGCATCCAGGTATCCGTCCGGCTGGTCCATGTAGATGTCTTCGTTGAGGGAGCCGTTAAGAAACGCTGTTTTGACGTCCATCTTGTTGAAAAGACAGCGGCTGTGAAGAAGACACCTCGTCAAGCTGCGTCAAGTGTTGAAGCAAGTGGAAGACCAAGCTTCGCTATACCGGTGGGTACCGGTATGTACCAGTAAGGGCGAAGTCAGGAAATGACGTCACTGGATGACGTCATTGCATGACGTCAGTGGGTGACGTCAGTGGGTGACGTCACTGGATGACGTCACTGCGAATAATAGGCTTAGAGGTAGTATTCAAAGTTGCGAACTAAGTACCTATTATAAATATATATTCACTTTGCGTTTTGCACTCGGACCAAGAAGTCTAAAGTTCATCAGGTTATGAGCCCAAGTTCGTCAGACTCTGAAACCGCCAACAATTCAAGCTTAGCTGCCATGGACGCCTCCTCCCTCCGCATCTCCAAGTTCGACGGGACCAACTTCCACGCATGGATGTTCAAGATGCAGATGGTGCTCGAAGTACGGGACCTGTGGGAGGTCGTCAGTGGTGAGGTCAAGGCGGAGCAGTGCGAGACTCAGTTGGACCAAGCGACGTACAAGAGGAAGTCAAGAAAGGCGATGGCAGTGATCTGTCTAGCCATGGAAGATTCCCAGCTACCGTTGGTCCGGTCGGCAAGTGGTGCATGCGACGCATGGTCAAGGTTGGAAGACCACTTCGAGAAGAAGAGTCTTGCCAACAAGCTGTTCTTGCGCCGTCGCTTCTTCACGACAATGATGGAAGAAGGCGACGATGTGCTCGAACACATCAACAAGCTCAAGACGCTGGCGGAACAGCTAGAAGCGGTGGGGGCTCCAGTCTGCGAGGACGATCTGGTGATCACACTCCTCGGCAGCCTGAGTGACTCGTATCAATTCTTGATCACAGCTTTGGAGTCGCGCTCAGACACTCTTAGCTGGGAGCTCGTGACGTCTCGACTGCTTCATGAAGAAATGAAGCGGAAGGAGCAAGGAAGTAAAGGTGATGAAGCTTCGCAAGGTCAAGCGTTCATCACAAGGGACAATCAGCGCAAAGGGCGACCAGTGAAGAAGTCCTGGCCGTGCCACAATTGCGGAAAGATTGGTCACTGGATGGCGGAGTGCCCCTCGCGCATCCAAGAAAACACGGAGAGACACCGGCCACAGCGTGCTCAAGACAGCGGCGACCGCTATCGATCACAACGTGCAAACGTCGCTCAAGAAGAAGACTCGGGCGACTACCTCTTTTCGATCGGTGAAACGACATCTGCGAAATCGAGCGACATCTGGCTGATCGACTCGGGAGCGACGCAGCACATGACGTGTTCCAAGAAGTTCATGCGGAACTACAAGGGGTTTGACGCTGTGGATGTCCATCTCGCGGATGATGGAATCGTCCAAGCAATCGGCAGTGGCGACATTGTGATGACAATGAAGACACCCCAAGGGATGAAGAAAGGTGTGCTCACAAACGTGTGGCACATCCCAAAGTTATCCAGAAACCTGTTCTCGGTCGGCCGCTTCACCAAGGATGTCGGCCCAGTGACGTTCACGAAGGATGGGTGCTATGGAGAAGCGAAAGGGACCAAGTGGAAAATTGGTGCCCGTGAAGGTAAAGGACTGTTCAAGCTGCAAATGACTCCAGTGGCGCCGGAACAAGCAAATGCAGCCAAGTCGTCGGGATGTCAAGGGGGCACCAAGTCGTACCTCTGGCACCTTCGGCTTGGCCACATAGGTCACGATGGACTCAATTGCATCGTGACGAAGAACATTGGAATTGGCATCGACATATCTTCGGTGAAGAAGTGGGACGTGTGTGAAGGTTGTGCTCTGGGAAAACAGACTCGAGTGCGCTTCCAATCAAACACTACAGCTCGCACCTCCAAACTCCTCGAAGTGATTCACAGCGACGTATGCGGACCGATGTCGATGGCAACTTTCAGTGGAAAACGGTACTTCGTGACATTCATTGATGACAAGTCAAGATACTGTGTCGTCTATCTGCTCAAGAGCAAATCTGAAGTTGCGGCGAAGTTCATGGAATACGCTGCGATGGCCGAAACGCAAACCGGAAAGCGCGTGAAGTACCTTCAAAGCGACAATGGGGGTGAATACAAGTCCGACAAGCTGGCACGATTCTGCGCGGAACGGGGAATACAACAAAGGTTCACACCCCCATATACTCCTCAGCTAAACGGAGTAGCTGAGAGAATGAATCGCACGCTGGTCGAGTGTGCGCGTTGCATGATGGAACACGCTGGACTGGGAAAGAGCTACTGGGGTGAAGCAGTGATGACGGCGATGTTTCTTCGAAACCGCTGTCCAACACGTGCCATTCACCAAGACAAGTCTCCATATCAAGTGTGGACGATGAAGAAACCGATTCTGGCCAACCTTAAAGTGTTTGGATGCCACGCGTATGTTCAAGTGCCTCAAGACAAACGCGCGAAGTTCGACTCAAGTCATCACTCTGTCGTTTCCTGGGATACGCCGAACACCAGAAGTCATATCGATTTGAGGAAGTGTCAACAGGAGCGATCAAGATCAGTCGCGATGCCACATTCATGGAAGACAAGTTTGATGAAGGTCCGCGCAACTACAACGATGAGTCAAGTGTCGTTGAGTTTGATGATCATGATGAGGACGAAGAAAAAGAAGAAGGTAAAACTGACGACGACATGGACTCGAGCGACGATGACAACGAAGACACCAGGTCTTCGAAGAGCAACATCAAGAGACACACGCGCACTCAATCACTTGAGAAAGCTACCGTCATTCCAAGTCCCAAGCGAAGAACATACAGAGGTCCGTCGCTTGAGCATGTGTCAGCGGCTGCAATGGATTTTGAAGCAGCCTACATCGTTGATTCAGTGGGGGAAACGCCGACTACATTCAAGTCGGCGATGGAATCAAGCGACTCCGGCAAGTGGAAAGAAGCGTGTGACTCGGAGTTCGATTCGCTTCAGAGAAACGACACGTGGGAAATCGTGCCTCTTCCGAAAGGTCGCAAGGCCATCGGGTGCCGATGGGTTTTTCGTGTAAAGGAGAATCAAGATGGCGAAGTTGAACGTTTCAAGGCAAGACTTGTGGCCAAAGGATTCTCACAGAAATTCGAAGTTGACTATGAAGAAACTTTCGCACCGGTGGCCAAGTTTGATGAACTTTAGACTTCTTGGTCCGAGTGCAAAACGCAAAGTGAATATATATTTATAATAGGTACTTAGTTGGCAACTTTGAATACTACCTCTAAGCCTATTATTCGCAGTGACGTCATCCAGTGACGTCACCCACTGACGTCATGCAATGACGTCATCCAGTGACGTCATTTCCTGACTTCGCCCTTACTGGTACATACCGGTACCCACCGGTATAGCGAAGCTTGGTCTTCCACTTGCTTCAACACTTGACGCAGCTTGACGAGGTGTCTTCTTCACAGCCGCTGTCTTTTCAACACTCCCTCTCGACTCGTTAGCTGCGGCACCTTGGATCCCAAGTCGATCGCGAATGTTTTCAAATTGTACAGCGGCGATCGGCTTGGTCATCATGTCTGCCAGCATATCTTGAGTCGGGCAATACTCCAAAACGACTTCACCTGATTCCACCTTCTCACGCACAAAATGGTAGCGTATGTCGATGTGTTTTGTTCTCTTATGGAACTCCGGGTTCTTGGCGAGAGCGATTGATCCTTGGTTGTCTTCATACATCTTGATCGCTTCGTCGCTTGTCATCTCACCAAGTTCCCCCAAAAGCACTTTGAGCCATACTGCTTCTTTGGTTGCTTCGGAAAGCGCCATGTATTCTGCTTCTGTTGTTTCTGGCTTTTCCAAGATAG